ATATAGATCATTGAAACTCTTCACTGTGAAAAAGTTGACAAAATTCTATGCCCGAAACAACCTAAGGTTATTCAGGTGCCATTTCCTCCTTAAGTTTCTGTGCCCTTCTGCTCACCTTTAAATTCTTGCTTCCTCTCTGAAAAGTCAGTGCATTCCCCTCTCTTAAAAATGAGCTTCAATCAAGCCTATGGCCCAAACACTGCCCTGAAAATGTTTGAAAATTCTCTTGTCTAGAGGAAACAGTAGTCAATATAATTTAGACTTAAATAGTTCAAAGATCTACAAAGAACTAGATTTTGCTGGTTGTATTGGATGCAGTTTAAGTGGAATCTGAGTTGTTGAAAGGACCTGGTATATGAGTGTGAGGGATGGATATTTCTTTAAAAAAATAGGGATGTATTTAGAATCTGGCAGGGGAGCAGAAACTTTATTTGATGCAGGCTGTGGTGCTGTATGGACTATTCAGAAAGCATGAATGGTAGGTCAGCTAGAATAGTGGTCCTTAAAGTGTGTACTTAGATCAACAACATCAGCATTACCTGAGAATTGGTTAGAAATGTAAATTCCTGGGCCCTACAAATCAGACCTATGGAATTAGACCTACTGAATCCAGCTGATTCTGTTGTAAGCTCAATTAGAGAACCACTGAGCTATTGAAAATGCTTGATACTTTGCACCTAATCCCAAAGGAACTATTGCCCAGTTAGATAGGAAGGCCTTGGAGAAAGATCTGAAAAGGCAGTGAGCTATTCTATCTTCTTCTTTTCTTTCTTTCTTCCCCCCCCCCCCCCCCCTCATTTCTACCACCACTGCCTGGTCTAAGCACCATCATCTCTTATCCAGTCTGGTGCAACAGACTGATAATCAGTTTCATTCCTCCCATCTTGTGCCCCAGAATCTCTATTCACCAGCAGAGAGAGTGATTTTAACAGCTTTTAACACTAGGTCATTACTGCCACTTAAAATCTCCATCACAAGGAATACACTCTGAAGTCCTTATCTTGGCCCACAAAACCTAGTGTGCCCTGCTCACCTCTTTTTTTTTTTCTCTTTCTTGAGTGCGTAGCTCAAGCCTGTTGCTTAATTCCACGTAAGGCCTTTCTACTTGGTCTTTCTGCCAAAATTCTCCCCTTCCTTTTTATTTCTGTTATGGGCTCCTTCTTGCCATTTAAATTTCACCTTACATGTTACCTCCACAAAGGGGCTTTATCTGAAACCCCCGAATAAAATAAATAAATGAACTCTCATATATTAGCTAAGTAATTTTTAACAAGTTATTTAATCTCCCTAAAACTAACGTATTCATCCATGAAATGGGGCTCATAATAACCCATAGGATTGCATAAGGATCAAATGAGATAAAGTGGGGAAAGTGTCTAATATATGGCTCACTCAGTTGTTAGTCACTCCTCTACAGAAAGGTCATCTTCCTTGTTCAGGCCTTTGTTTCTTCCCATTGCATCACTCCCACAGCTCTTGGTTGGCCTTGCCACTTCCGGTTCTCCCTCACTCAGATGTATCTTATATGCCACTGCCAGCTTAATAATCTTTTTTTAAAAAATCTTACCTTACTCCTTTAAGAATGTGAGTTCCCCCAAACACTTCTCCCTTTTGGTCTCCAGTCATCACCACAAAGCATTTATTCCTTAAGCACTTTAGGAATTCACATAGTACGCACCCAGGAGTGCCTTTTAGGTGCCACAAAGGCAAGCTGAGGGCATCTTTTTTCGTAGGTTGACGTTTGTAATTTAATTGTTTGCCACATTATGCTGCTCATTCAGTTAAAAAAAATAATAATAAGAAGAAGGAGGTGTCAACTGGGACTCCATTTCTTTCTCACGATTAGTTGTGGGAGTCAGTGCAACCTGAGAGCAGTGTTCTGTGACGGTGTGAGTGGGGAGACAGCCTGATGAAGGCCAGAGATGGAGCAGAAGTGCTCTGAGCAGGAGAACATTTTCCTGCAGCAAAAGGAGCTCTGACTGGAATATCAATAGAACGTGGAGAGCAAATGGAATGACCTCAAGGAATGTGTAAACTGGTTTCTGAGGGACCTAGAGAGTATAGCTAACACTGCTCCTAGCACTCAGTTAACATTTACTAAATAGGATTGAATAGAACACCAAAGAAGGCAGCAGTTTGAAAGGGCTACCTCTTTCAAAGGTAGCAATTTTTTTAAATCCTCATCTGAGGATATGCTTCTATTGATTTTAGAGAGGAAGGGAGAAAGGGAGACAGAGAGAGAGAGAGAAATATCAATGTGAATGATTGGTTGCCTTCCAGGCCCTGACCAGAATTAAACCTGCAACCAGGTACGTGCCCTGATCAGGATTCGAACCCACAACCCTCTGGTGCACAGGATGATGCTCCAACCAACTCAGCCATACCAGCGAGGGCTCAAAGGTAACAATTTGTAACAAATTTAGGAGGCAACTATAATGATGTCAGATGTAGGTGCTTTTTTTATTTTAAGTAAGACAAAGAAATATTTTCAACTTTATTAGATTAATGTAGCCTTAACTGAATGGAAGAGACTTCAGGGGACTCAGTTACCACAGACATTGAAATGATGCCGGAATTGTTATCAGGAGCTATGGTACCTGTTCTAAACTCTGCAGACATAAATCAGAAATCTGAATCAGGCAGGCAACCAGAAAGCCTTTATGTGCATTGGCATCACCTGAGCAGTCTTTTTAAAATGCAGATTATGATCTGGTAGGACTGGGGTGGGGCTTGAAAGTCTTCCCTTATAATAAGTTCCAGACAATGCTGATGGTACCAGAACCACTTTGAAAGAAAAGGGTCTAATTTAACCTCTTCATTTTCTACAAGAGCAACTGAGGCCCAGAAAAGCCAAGTGTCTTGCCCACCCTCCTCACATCGAGTTTTATTTGAGAGATTCTGTAGAAACCACAGTGCCACACCGAGCTACCCATGTGTGGTGGCTAAGGGCATGTGGGCAACTTAGATTGTACCAAGGACAAAATAGGACAGAGTGTGGAAGAATGAGGAAGAGGTGGCGTCTGAGTGCCGTTGGCCAAGAAAGTCATGAGAAGGCATTTGGCAGGTATATTTAAATCACTGACTCAAGGAAAAAGAGAATGGGATTAACAGATAATGGTTTTAACATTCTTTACTATAATTTTAAAGTTAGTAGGTAAACAGGATTGATGTCAGGGAGATATTTTTAGGCAAGGGGCCCTCTCTGCACCCCTCACATGTCAGTGAGTAACTATTTTGCCTCCACATATGGTAATAATTATTTATTCCTGAGCTTTAATGCCTGTAGAAATGGCAAGGCCGAAGGGTAAAGGTCAGAGATATTCTTTAACTCTTAAAATACGAACCAGTCAATTCATTAATTACTATAATCATACATTTTGAAACTGTTTCTCCACTATGGAGATACTTAATCCTAGGGAAAGAAAATATATAAAGTTAAATTAAAGTAATCCCTTTCCTCTTGAGATTTTAACATCTAACCAGTTCCCTGAAGGTAATTTCCATATCTAGTTCCATATTGCTGGGCTTCGGGCTATGATTCCAACAGTTTCACTGTACCCCCAAAACATGACCATGCTTTTCCAAATCTATTCAACCTCACCGTCTGCAGTTCACCTGTGCTACGGGTCTCTCTACCCGTAAACACTCTAGTTATTTAAATAGCTAACTAATTCTCATATCTGGCGCTTGTATTATTAGTATCAATATTTTAAATGACCTTTCATTTTATTTTGTATTGGCTAAGAATGGATTTCCTAGGGGTAGCTATAAGTCAGCCTGTCTTCTTGGATACTCCTAGGCCAATACTCTCCAGTCTTCTCGGGAGAGACCCCAGCATATACCCTGAAGACCTTGGTGTCAGGGAAAACCTGACAAGATTAAGTGCAGTTATACGCACTTATGCATAGCAAACAAGCATAGTTATAACCGAGACACTGAGAGCAGAGTTATGAGCTGCACCTGGAGGTTACAGAGGCAGGCAAGCAGGAAACCGGAGTTACGGTGTCTGGGTAGATCTCCTTTTACTTGACATTGGTGGCTCTAGCTTGTGTTCTTCAGAGTTCAGAGTGCACAGAATCACTTTTGCTGCATAAGCCACTTCCCAGAGTGTCCTTAGCTGAACTCTAAGCCATATAACACCAAAGCAAGGCTCAGAGAAAAGACATGAAAGCAAGCCCAGCTCCCTTCTCCCTGCAAGTTCTATACAGTTATTCCAAAAGGTAGAAATAATCTAGCTACATTTTAAAGCTTGCAATACCTCAATTATCATTAATCATTTTACATTTGTCCCTCTGTATGTGCAAGTTACAAGTCGGTAATAATTTATAGTTTGTGTGCAAAAGTCTGTATAAATTTTCCAACTTGTAAAATACTTTCACTTCTATTCGGGATGCATATTGGATTTAAGAGCTGTGGGCTGGAGAGAGACATATCTAGGGAGTATTGTTAGGGAAAAACAGGTTTTAAACTCTGAGTTTAAATAATACATGCAGTATATACAACTGTGCTACATTAACCGGTAGGGAGACACAGGGGATGGAATTTAAACCACAGAGAATGACTTGCACTTAACATAGCAAATGCTGATTGGGAAAAGATCACAGCATTTGGACTTTAGAAAACCCTAGGGGTTGGCCTTCCATCTATTTCCTCACCACTTCCTGCCCTCAACACTGCGACCCCTTATCAGCACTGTGTAACTTCAGAGACATTGCATAACCACTCTGGTTGATTGCAGAAGAAAGACCTAAGTGGTCAGAAAGCAGATAATCTCTTCTTGCTCTAAGATTTTAGATTTCCAAACAGGAGTTTACACATGGCCGGGTCTCATTCTCAGCGCCAAGACCCCCACTTCTCACCCCCAAAGGCCCATATGTAAGTAATTGTCTGGACAACCCTCTTGCTCAGAGCAAAAAGGTGATGTGCAGCTCAGCCTCAGTCTCCGTGCTCACGACTCCAAATGTCTCCTGGGCGCTCCAGCTCAAGCCTGAAAAGCTTACCTTCACGGCATGGACTGCGTCAGCATCTGCTGCACCTGGGTCCCCTGATTGTGAGCAGGCAGGTCCTGGGAGGCAGAGGAAGGTGCATCCGCTGCACAGAGCAGAGTTCTGTCGAGGAGGCTGGGAAAGGAAAGTTCAACAGAAATAGTCCAAGTATTTCGAGGTTAAAAATAAAACTATATCACAAGGAGCAATGTGACCAGGCTCAGCTTACTGATTTTTTCTTTCCCCTGTATTTATCAACACTCGATCTCTACTGGAGTGGCATTTAGCAGGGGAAGCCGGAAGGGAAGTGAGGCTTTATATCAATGGGTTTTCTTTCCCTTGAGGAAGGAAGAAAATCCTTTTAAGGATCATTTTCAAGGCCAGAGCAGCTGCCCGGAGTCCTGTGCGTGTGCAGTCGGCAGATCCAGCTGTGCTCTTGGTGGCTGGTGGAGCCCTCAGGCTGCTGCTCTAATTATAACCATGCTTTTCACCTAAATCCACAACTCGCTGACATAGCCACTTGTGCAAGTAACATGCGGTCTTGTTTTGGTTTCTCCTATTTCTTGTCATGACAAGTAGGTGGCTGTCCTCTCTGGCCTTCTTCTTTCCCCAGTGGTTGGAAAAGGGAGAGTTTGTAAATCATAAATTAGGCATGAGTAAGTCCAGTGTGAGAGAATTAGAAGTGGTAGGAGGCTTAGCTTTGGCTTAATCCAACTCCCTCTTTTTACAGATGAGAAGACTGAACGTTAGAGAAGGTAAAATTGTCCAACGTCACAGAACTTGCTCTAGTGGAAGAGCCAGAAGAAAGAATCAGTTATTCTTACTCCCAATCTGGTGCTCTTCTTCTTCTTTTTTAAAAATATATTTTTATTTATTTCAGAGAGGAAGCTCCCTGAGGGAGAGACAGAAAGAGAGATAGAAACATCAATGATGAGAGAATCATTGATCGGCTGCCTCCTGCATGTCCCCTGCATACCCCCTACTGGTGATTGGGCCTGCAACCTTGGTATGTACCCTTGACTGGAATTGAACCCAGGGACCCTTCAGTCCACAAGCCAATGCTCTATCCATTGAGCCAAACCAGCTAGGGCTGGTGCTCTTCTTGAGCTCATCCTCCTCAAAGGAACTCACTCAGCTATCTTCTGAGGAAAGAAAATACATGAACCTGGCTTTGCAGATTTCTAGGTACAAAATTCTCACCTGTGATTTCTCTGTCTGAGGTTTCCGTTACCTTCAGTCACATGTGGTGTGAAATATTAAATGGAAAGTTCCATAAATAACTCATAAGTTGTAAATTGCCACCGTTCTGAGTAGTATGTTGAAATCTTGTGCTGTCCAGCTCCATCCAATCTGGGATGTGAATCATCCCTTTGCCCAGTGCATGGACATTGCATACACTACTGCCCATTAATCACTTAGTAGCTATCTTTGTTATCAGCTTGACTGTCGCAGTATCACCGTGCTTATGTTTGGGGCCATTAGTAATGGCCCCAAAGTGCAAGAGCAGTGATGCTGGTAATTAGAATATGCCAAAAAGAAGCCATAAAGTGCTTCCCTTAAATGCAAAGGTGAGTATAGTACAATAAGATATTTTGAAAGCGAGACCACATTCACAATGAGGAGGAAACTGGTCTTGCAAGGAGTGTCAGGCCATAAAAACTGTGAACAATGTACTGCCCTGGAGGTAGGGGGGGCCATTATCGCTGGCCCCAAGACAGATCATCAGATATGGCCTGGGGCCCCCCAACACCTGGGGGCCTTTCTGTAAATCCACGAAAGGGGGTGGAACCATATCTGCAAGACAAAGGCCCCAGAAGGTTATAAAAAATGAAGCCCTCTGCATGTTACTACACTCTGATTTGGAAATTATTCCCAGAGTCCACTAGTGTTAATAAATGGGGTCCCTCCCTTTCTCTAGGAAGTGTGCTTGGTATTTCTTTGGTATTCTATAATAACATAACATTATTATAGTTATCCTATCTAATAAAAGAGAGACATGGTAATTAGCCGTACCTCTGCTACCCTTCCCATTGGCTAATCAGGGCAATATGCAAATTAACTCCCAGCCAAGATGGTGGTTGGCAGCCAGGCAGCTTCAAGCGAACATGAGGCTTGCTTGCTTCAGTGACGGAGGACTCCAACGTTCCCCGCCTGACTTGCCGGCCTCTGAGCTTGCAGTTTGAAACATTGTTACAAATATAGAAGCTAAACAAAACCCCAGAAACCTGCTTTCAGCCAGCTGGGATCTCAGAGCTAGAGTTGAAACAGTGTTTTGATTATAGAACCCAAACAAACCAGATACCTGTTTTCAGCAGCCGAGGCCTAAGAGCTGGAGCCAAGCCTCAGAGCTAAAGCTGGCCCAGGATAAAAAAGAAAAAAAGGAGCAGTTGGGAGCTTCAGGCACCCGCCAGCCTGAAAACAGCTCTCAGCCCCTCACCCAGACTGGCCAGGCACCCCAGTGGGGACCCCCACCCTGATCCAGGACACCCTTCAGGGCAAACCAGCCGGCCCCCACCCATGCACCAGGCTTCTATCCTATATAGTAAAAGGGTAATATGCCTCCCAGCACCGGGATTAGTGGAGCCACGAGGCCTCCCGGCACCGGGATCAGCGTGACAGGGGGCAGCACCCAAACCTCCTGATCGGCCCTGCTCTGTGTGTGACAGGGTGCAGCGCCCAAACCCCCCCTCCCCCGCCATAGGCCCTGCTCTGTGTGTGATGGGGTAGAGCCATAACCTCCCCATCAGCCCTGCCCTGAGTGTGACAGTGGCGGCGCCCCAACCCCCTGATTGGCCCTGCTCTGTGGGTGATAGAGGGTGGTGCCCCAACTGCCCCCCACGGGCCCTGCTCTGTGTGTGATGGGGTAGAGCCATAACCTCCCCATCAGCCCTGCCCTGAGTGTGACAAGGTGCGGTGCCCCAACTCCCGGATCCGCCCTGCTCTGTGTGTGACAGGGGGGAGCTCCCCAACCCCCTGATGGGCCCTGCTCTGTGCGTGACAGGGGGCAGCGCCCCAACCCCCTGATTGGCCCTGCTCTGTGCATGACAGGGGAGAGCTCCTCAACCCCCTGATTGGCCCTGCTCTGTGCGTGACAGGGGGTGGCGCCGCAACCTGCCCATCGACCCTGCCTTGAGTGTGACAGGGGGCGGTGCCCCAACCCCCCAATCGGCCCTACCCTGAGTGTGACTGAGGGTGGCATCACAACCTCTCAATCCTCCCTGCTCTGTGCATGACAGGGGGCGGCGCCCCAACTCCCCAATCAGCCCTGCTCTGAGCCTGACCAGGGGCTGCACCTAGGGATTGGGCCTGACCTCTGCCACCCGGGAGCGGGCCTAAGCCAGCAGGTCGTTATCTCCTGAGGGGTCCCAGACTGAGAGAGGGCACAGGCCAGGCTGAGGGACCCCCCCCTCCCCTGAGTGCACAAATTTTTGTGCACCGGGCCTCTAGTATCATTATAATTATTCTATTTTATTAGTAGCAATTGTTAATCTCTTACTGTGTCTAATTTATAAATAAAACTTAATCATAGATATGTATAATATAGATAGTGTATAGTATATATTGGTACTATCTGCTGCTTCAGACATCCATTGGGGATGTGGGGTGTTTTAGGACATATTTCCTGAGGATAAGGGAGCATTACTGTATGTGATTTTGACCAACTTACTTAACCATTCTCTACCTGTTTTCCCAATTGTGAAATGGGGCTGATAATATTTACTGTGACTATGTGTTGATAAGCTAAAGCATTAATATATGTATACATGTAAAGCACATAAATGATGTCTAGCACATACCAAGTGCACAACAATGTTGTTATTTGAATGTGTGGGCTAAAAATAGATGTGCTAATTTCTGCTGTAATTAACAAAAACTGATTTCCCTTCCTGGATTCTTTCATGCATATACAGAGGTGGGCAGAAGTAAATTTATAGTTGTAATACAATTATTATAAACTAGAGGCCTGTTGCATGAAAAGATTCGTGCAATAGGCCTTCCCTTCCCCTGGCTGCCGGCACCGGTTTTTCTCCGGCACCCGGGACCCAGGCCTTTACTCCGGCCAGAGCTGCCTTCAGTCTTCACTGCTTTGGCCAGAGCCGCCTTCAAGCCTTTGCTGCTCCGGCCGGAGCCGCCTTCAGTCTTCGTTCGGCCGCTTCGTGCCTACATATGCAAATTAACCACCATCTTTGTTGGTGATTAATTTGCATACCTTACTGATTAGCCAATGGGAGGCATAGCGAAGGTATGGTCAATTACCATGTTTGTCTATTATTAGATAGAATAATAATACAAGAATAAACTGTTTAGCATAGGCACAGCTGTAAACCTACTTTTGCCTACCCCTGTATGTCCATGTAGGTACTTTTGGGGGGTGAGCAGCTAACAGTTGGAAACTATAAAAATTTTGTGTATGAATCTTGTATTATGAAATTATGCTGAACTTATTTATTAGTTCTAATAGTTTTCTTATGGATTCCTTATGATTTCCTATATACAAAATCATGCCATCTGTGAATAGAGATATTTTTACTTTTTTTATTTTGAATGTCATTTATTGCCTTTTTTTTTTTTTTTTTGGCCTTATTTCCTTTACTGCCTAGAACTTCCAGAACCGTGTTGAACGAGAGTGGTGACAGTGGCCATCCCTAATCTGTATTCCCAATCTAAAGGAAAAAGCATTCAGTCTTTTACATTAAGTATGATATTACTTGTGGATTTTTTGTAGATGGCTTTTATCAAGTTGAAGGAGTTTGATAGTTTATTCTAGTTCGTTGAGTGCCTTTATTATGAAAGGATGTGCACTTTTGTCAAAAGCTTTTTCTGTGCCTATTGAGATGATTGTGTGTTTTGTTTTGTTTTGTTTTGTTTTGTTTTGTTTTGTTCTAATCCTCACCCGAGAATATGTTCTACTGATTTTAGAGAGGGAAAGGCAAAGAGAGAGAGAAAGAGAAATATCAATGATTGAGAGAAGCATCTATCAGCTGCCTCCTGGATGTACCCCCACTGGGAATCAGACCCACAACCTACACAGGTGCCCCAACCAGGAATTGAACCTGCAATTTTTCAGTGCTCCAACCAACTGAGCCACACTGGCCAGGGCAGATCATGTGTTTTTCCCCTTTATTCTATTTTTT